ACAAACAAAACAAAACAAAAAACAAAGACGAGGAGAATGCTAGTGGAGAGGAGGGCTGCTTCTATGTAATGAAGCACGCTTTAAGGAAATGAACTGTTATAAGTGGTTAAACTGAGATGGAAAATGGTTAAGAAATTAGCAACTCTTGTTATCAGTAGCTAATTAGCTGGTTAAACTATTTGATGTTTTAGTTTAGGAATCAGGCTATATATGGGCCTATGAGCTTTTTAAGACTTGGTAGAAAAATGTCAGAATGATAGGAGCAGCTTGTTACTTTCCATAATCTTTAGTGAATGAAGCCTGCAAGGAACAGACAGGCTTTCCTGCCTCTAACACTCCTCTTCTTGCCTTTCATCTGCCCCAATCCATGTGTACCTTTATTGTCAATGATCTTTCCAATTGGTAAATTTGATCATGTCACTCACCTGCTCAAAACATCTAACTCTTCATTGCCTACAGGACAAAGCATAAATAGCCAGCAGGGTCAAAGGGATATCTTCACACACTGCCTGTTTTTCTGGTATCAACTATTGTCAGTATCTCTTATGCCCCTAGACTCTAGCCACAGTGTACTACATGCAACTGCCCAAACATGTCATTTCTTGCCTATCACTGCCCATGTCCTTTCCTCTACCTGAATTGCTCTTCCTCTTTCCAACTCACTACCCAAGCCCAGACCTACACCCTTTAAAACTAAGCTCTAAAGTCATCACTCTCTGACCATTAATGCTAATCTTAAAAAAATAAAAAGGAGTCAGAGTGAGAATTTCTATCCTCATCTTACCCACTCTTGAAAAAATAAAAAATTAAAAAAAAAAATAAAAAGGAGTATAAATAAAACTATGAATGATATGGTGTCAATAAATTAAGACAACTTATATGAAATAGGCAAATTCCTAGAAAGCCACAAACTGCTAAAACTGACTCAAGAAAAAAATGGAAAATCTGAGTAGGTCTACAACAGGGGAAAAAAAATTGAATCAGTAATTAAAAAAAAGAATTACCCTCCCACACACAAAAAACCCAGGCTCAGGTTGCTTCACTGGCGAATTCTACCAAACCTTAAAAGAATACCAGTTCTTCACAAATTCTTCCAATAAACGGAGACATTTCCCAATTAATTCTGTGAAGCCAGTATTGCCCTGATAGCAAAACCAGACAACATCACAAAAAAGAAAACTATAGACTAATATAGCATATGAATACAAACATACAAATCCTCAACAAAATGCTAACTAAAACTAGCAACACATAAAAAGAATTATACACCATGACCAAGTGAGATTTATCACAGGAAAATAATGTTGGCATAACACTAGGAAAACAATTAATGTAATACACCATATTAACAAAATGAAGAACAAAAACCACATCATCAAGACAATAGATAAAAACACTCCACAGTGATAAAAACACTCAACAAAGTTGGAATAGAAGGGGATTTCTGGCCAGGCACAGTGGCTCATACTTTGGCAAGCCAAGGTAGGTAGATTTGAGACCAGGAGTTTGAGGCCAGGAGTTTGAGACCAGCTTGGGGAACATGGTGAGACACTGACTCTACAGAAAAAAATAAATAAAAATAAAAACAAATAATTATCTGGGAATGTTGGTGTGTGCCTGTGGTCCTAGATATGTGGGAGGCTGAGGTAAGAGGATTACGAGGATTACTTCAGCCCAGGAAGTTGAGGATGTAGTGAGCCATGATCATGCTACTGCACTCTACTCTGAGTGACAGAATAAGATCCTGTTCAAAAAAATTAAATTATATTTCATGGTGAAAGATTAAATGTGTTCTCTCTAAGACCAAGAACAAAAAAAGCTGTCTGCTCTTGCCACTTCTAGTCAATATGTACTGGAGGTTCTAGCCAGAGCAATTAGGCAAGAGAAATAAAAGACATCCAGATTGGAAAGGAAGAAGTAAAATTATCTCTATTTGCAGATGACAAAATCTTGCATCTAAACAATCCTTAGAAATAACTAAAAAACTATTGGAACTAACAAGTACAGCAAGATTGCAGGATACAAGCTCAAGATATAAAAATCAGCCTGAGATGGTGGCACACACCTGTAGTCCCAGCTACTTAGTAGGTTGAGGCAGAGGACTGCTTGAACCAAGGAGTTCAAGGTCAGCCTGAGAAACATATAAAATCCCATCTCATAAAAAAAGTCAGTGATATTTCTATTCATTAGCAATAAATAATCCACAAAGGAAATTAAAAAAACATTTATAATAGTCACAGAAACAATAAGATTAGGATAAATTTAACAAAAGAAGAACTTCTATCCTGAAAACTACAAAATATTATTGAAAGAAATCGAGGGCCTAAATAAATGGAAAGATACCTCATGTTCAAAGATTAAAAGACTTAACATTGGTAAATGTCAATACTACTCAAATTGATCTACAGATTCATTGCAATACCTATAAAAATCTTAACTGGCTTCTTCAAATATATTGACAGGCTGATACTAAAATTAAGATGGAAAGTCAAGAGACCTAGAGTAGCTAAAACAATCTTGAAAAAGAACATAGTTGGAAGACTCACACCTTTTTATTTTAAAATGTACTATGAAGCCAAAATAGTAAGAGAGGATGATACTGACATAAGGATAGACATACAGATCAAAGGACTAGAACTGAGACTTTAGAAATAAACCCTCATATTTATGATCAACTGCTTTTTTAAAAGGGTGCCAAAACAATGCAATGGGGAAAGCACAGTCTTTTAAACAAATGGTGCCTGGGATAAATGGTACCACATGCAGAAGAATAAAGATAGATCCTTACCTCATACTATATACAAAAATTAACTCAAAATAGATAAAAGACCTAAATGTAAGAGCTAAAACTTAAAAGAAAATATAGACATAAATCTTCCTGGCCTTGGATTAGTGATAGTTTCTTAGATATGACACCAAAAGCAGAAGCAACAAAAGAAAAAAAAAAAAAAACTCTAACTCATTAAAATTAATGACTTTTGTCCTTCAAAGGATACCATCAAGAAAGGGAAAAGTCACCAGGCCAAGTGGCTCAAGCCTGTAATGCCAGCACTTGGGGAGGCTGAAGCAGGAAGATTGTTTGAGGCTAGGAGTTCAAGACCAGCTTGGGAAACACAGTGAGACTCTGTCTCTACAAAAAATTTAAAATTAGCCAGGCTGGTGGGGTGCACCTGTAATCCCAGCTACTCAGGAGGCTAAGGTGAGAGGATCGCTTGGGCCCACGAGTTCGAGGCTGCAGTAAGCTATGATCGAACCACTACACTCCAGCCTGGACAATAGGGCAAGACCCCACAGAATGGAAGAAAATATTTGTAAATCATGTATTTGTTAAAGAACTTATATCTAGACTATATAAAGAATTATTACAACTTAGTAATAAAACGACAAATAACCTAGTTAAAATATAGACAAAGAATCTGAATAGACAGTTTTCTCCAAAGATATACATACAGTCAGTAATAACATAAAAAGTTGCTCAACATCATTAACCATCAGGGCAATGCATATTGAAACCACAGTGAGATATCATTTCAGACCCATTAGGATAATTAAAATAAAAAAGACAGATAATGACAAGTGATAGGGATGATGTAGAAAAACTGGAACGTTTATATAATGCTGGTAGGAGTGTAAAATTGCACAGTTGCTTTGGAAAACAGTCTGGCAGTTCCTCAAATGATTAAAGACAGAGTTATCATAAGACCCAGCAATTCTACCCCTGGGTGTATACCCAAGAGAAAGGAAAACATATATCCACACAAAAATTGTACACAAATGTTCATAGCAGCATTATTCATAATGGACCAAAAGTGGAAGTACCTAAGCGTTCATCAGCTGATAAATGGAGATATATCCGTTCAATGGAATATTATTTGGCATTAAAAAGAAATAAAGAACTGATACCTGATACAACATGGATAAGGCTTAAAAACACTATGTCAACTAAAAGAAACCAGTCACAAATGACCACATATTGCATGATTCCATTTACGTGAAATGTTTCAAATACACAAATCTATAGAGGTAGAAAGATTGGTGCCTGCTAGGGCTAGATTGGAGGAATGAGTTATGTGAAATGAGGGTGGACTGCTGAAGGGTGCAAGGTTTCTTTTGGGGGTGATGAAAATGTTTTAAAATTCATTGTGGTGATGGTTGCACAACTTGGTGAATATACAACAAGCACGGAACTGTATATTTTAAATGGTGAATTTTATGGTATATTAAATATACCTCAATAAAACTGTTATAAATCTTTCCCTCCTGGTGGAAGAACTGGGAACAATCCTCCTCCTCCTCCTCCCACTGTCCCAATCCTTTCATCATTCCCAGGTTCCTATGGGCTCACATAACCTTATACATGCTTTTATTATACAGCATGTGCCAAATTGTATTGTAATTATAAGTGGAAATGTCTTCTCTCCAATTTGAATGTACTTTAAGGCAGGAGCTAAGCCTAACATGGAAGGTACTCAATATTTCTTAATACTTTCCTTCAAATTCTAGTCCAATCTCCTAAATAAACATACACAAATATTTTACATACGGAAGTAGTATGTTCAAGTTATCTGAGAGTCTGTTTTTCTATCACAGTTTATTGATGTATGAAAATTGAGTACACAGAGTTATCATAATATTTGATAATTTCATAATATACTATTAGGTCAAAACACCATTCTCTGCTTAGTACTTGATCTTAGGGAATTTGTTTTGCCCAACTTTTAACCACGATAGTTACCTGGGACTATTTTTAGACATATGACTTATATTCCCACTTTCTGAACCTCAAATCAGAGGTTCTTTAATATATCCCCCTCAAATCTGAGTTACTAAGTCAGCGGGAATAAACATTAGGCATCTGCTTGCCCAAAGCCCCAACAACATTGCAGTGAGATTTTTTTTTTAAACGTATTAAAGTTGGTTCAAGTTTCTCTTTCTTCAAAGAGCTAGAATAATCAAGCAATTACATTATTTTATGGTTTTTTTTTTTTAATTTAACTCTTAGACCTATCTGGAATTTATTTTAGTGTATAGCATGAGGTATGGGTCCATGGTGAGTGTTTTTAATAAAGTTAGCCAATTAATCCATAAAGTCTATTTTAAAATTTTTAGAAAAGATTGATTATTGAGTAAATAGCTTTGAAACTACTGAAAGCCACTTGGGTTAAAAAAAAAAGCTGGGATGGTAGTGCATGCTTATAGTCGCAACTACTTGGGAAGCTGGGATGGAATGTTTGCTTGAGGCCAGGAATTTGAGGCCAGCCTGGGCAACATAGTGAGACTGCCATCTCAGAAACAGGAAAACCCCTCCACAAGATGTCTATGTCATTCTACATATCAAGATAAATTGATAAATATCAAGATGGATTAAAGCTTAAATATCAAAATAAAATAATAAAAGTATCTTACGAAAACACAGGTAGGTTTAAAAAATAATTTTATGACGAAAAAGACCACTAAGACCATAAAGGAAAATACTGCTAAGTTTAACAACATAAAATATTTTCTAAGGCTTAAAAAAATTAATAAATAATATTGAAAGGCAAACAAATGGGAAAAGCATATGCAACAATTGACAAAGCGTTAGCAGTCCTATATGTATAGGAAGTATAAGAATAGCAGTAAAACGACCAGTAAACATATGAAGAGATTTCAATCACAGTAATAATGAAAACATGAAAAACAAACAAACAAAAGATAGTATTCTTGATCTACCTAGCAAAGATTTAATTAAAACACTGACCAAATCATGAGCAGATCCAGGGGAAATTGGCTCTCCTGTGTGCTCTTTCTGTAGGAGTTCAATTCAGGTATCATTGGTAGAAAGAAGTTTGGTAGTATCTATCAAAGTATAAAATCTACAGACTGACCCACCACTGCCACTGCTGAGATACTAAAGGATACAGTCTCAAAATATGAAAATATACAGTATAAATTACTAAAGACAATAAAATAATAAAGTTGCTGGGTACAAAATTAACATATTTAAAAACAGTACTTTCATATATGTAAATGACAGTCAATTAGAAAATATAGAAAAGACTCTAATTTCAAATAATAAATATTACCAGAAATATGCAAGATCTAGGCGATTTTAAAACATGCCTAATACATACAAAGGCAGTACAGAAAAAATGGAATGTTATATAATGTTCTTGAATAGAAACATTCAGAATCATAAAGCTGTCATTGTAAAGCATGAATACTCTGCATGGAACATGGAATACTCTGCAGCCATTTAAACTGATACTGTCAATCTGTATTTCAGTCAAAATTAGTTCCTGTGGCTGATTATCCAGTTCTGAATGTTGATTTCTCCAAACAGAATTCTACATTTTTCTTCAAGTTCCAGTATAAATGCTACCTCCTTTATGGCCTTTCCTAAGCCCCAGGAATGGAATTGATTGCTCTGTTTTCTGCATTTCCATCACACCAGGTTTATGCCACTCTTGTACCAATTATTTTACTCTGCCTTGTACATTTAATATTTCTATAATCATCTCCTAAACCATCATAAGATATTTAAGGGCAAAAATCACATCATTTTCACAGCTGTACTACTGTAGGTATTTGATGTTTGCTGGAAGCAAAAATGGCTAATAAAAAATTTTGAAATATTCTTTTATTACTTATCAAAGAAATCTACTTTAGAATAGATATTATAACTTTAAAAATATATTAGCAATAATTTAGAATTGTGGGATTCCTCAGTACAAATGAAAACAGAGCAAAAGGAGTGTTCTTATACACCAATGATAAGAACAGAGAGGACAGGGATCACTATGGAAAGTAATTTGGCAATATGAAGCCAGAGCCTTAAAGCCATTCAAACGCTTATGTCCAGTAATTGTACTTCTAAAAATAATAAGATATTTTAGAAGACATTAGGCACGGGGATAGATAATTATCATAGCAATTATTCAAAATAAGGAAATGGCTAACTGAATTATGGCACAAATCATATAGCCAATATAGATAATAACTGCAAAGAGTTTGTAACATTCGAGAACACACACAAGGAAAGCAACCTATAAAACCGTATACAGATACACACACAAACACATACATTTGAACAATGTAAAAAATCTTTCAAACATATAGAAAAACCAGAAAGGTAATATATCAAAATGATAATAGTTGTCTGGAAATAGCAATATTAAGGAAGTTTTTTTTCTTCTTTGTAGTATTCAGTATTTTACAAAATAGGTATATGTTACCTTTATAATCAGAAAACAAACAAAGGCTGATGAAGTAAAGGTAAGCATCACAGAAAGAAGGGTCCTTACCTAGGGAGGTCACATTTCCATAATTCTCCAGCATCACATCCCAGTACAAGGCCCTCTGGATTGGGCCAAGACATGCCCATTCCTCTGAAGTGAAGCATACTGACACCTCCTCAAACATCACCAACTCCTGAAACAACAGGTGTGTGTGAGATTACCAATGCCCAGGAGCTTGCCTGTTGAAAGGTTCCCTTCGCTTCTGGGGAAGGGATATACTGTGAGACCAGGAGTGCACAACAGACATCAGGGAGACACAAGGAGATCACATATAAAGTCTATCTTCCAACAGCATAGACCTTGATTTAGAAATAGGAACTGACTGGACATTGAAGTACAAGGATGAGAGAGGGCAATTCAGCCACAGTGAGGTTGTGCAGATGGGAAGGAAAGAGGATGTTAACCTTACCTGGGGTTGGGCTGTTAGGAGCATAAGTGCCATTAATTGATTTCTTGGGTTCTCTTCCTGAGAAAGGGCAGAAGCTTCAGGGGCAGGACTATCTGAGGAAAGAGAAAAAGCTGCATGTGGGACCTACAAATTCTGAGTGACCCCCACTTGCAGAGCTGGAATAACACAAAGAGTAGCAATAAAAATGGATACAAGGTCAGAGGGGCCCAAGAAAGAAGGTGGGAACAGCAGAAACAACAGAAAGGAACTGGCACTGTAAGAGATTCCTAGACAGGGTAGCAGAAGAAGCAACTCCCTGGAAGTAGGAGTTGAGCCACAGAAAGGGTCCTGGAACAGCCCAAAGCCCAGAGCACTGAGTAAATACCATTTTGAGGATCCTGGAAGTTGAATGCCACTGGATCAGTAGGATGCAGGCAAATTTCAGCTGCTATGTGGCTGCCAGGAAGTATAGGAGGAAGTGTTCCTGGAGTGCTCACTGCCTTTTGGAGAGGGCTCTGATCCTGGACAAGGACTGGAACCTGGAAATCAGTAAAACAAAACATACTGGCTCTTCTTGTTCCTCCAGAAAAAGGACTCACCTAAGCACTGTGGACCTCTTTCTGCCCACAATCTAGAACTGTGAGATCAGAGAGACCCACCTCAAGTATGGAGCCATCAAAACAGCAATAAAACTTTGCAATGAGAACAATGGAGCTGCCCTCAAGCCCCACTCATGGCACTGGTGACCTCTCCCAGAGGAGACTGTACAACAGAATGGTAGGAACAGAAGCCAGACCTGGGTGTGGGTTAAGGAGGGAATGGGAAGTAATAAACAGTAATTAAGAGCATGGATTTTAGTTTCAGACTTAGTTTTAGAACGGACTTCAGTCACATCTCTTCTACTTATTTACCATCTAAGTACTGACCTCTTTACCTAGTCCTCTGTGCTCAAATACAAGTAACATTAAAATCGGCACCAAGACACTTGGTTTTGCGGCCAGCTAGATGTCTGCCTCGGTTTCCTTATATCACAAATGAGGATGTATTAATTTGTAACGAAATATATAGCTCTAAGATTTTTCACTTTATGATTAAAAGAACAAGCCTATCCTTAATGCCACACCCAAGTTTGAGTTATGATTCAGATGTCTTATACAGAAATGTTTCTAGTGAGCTATAGATGTACAGAAGAAATCTCACACATGATAGGCTACATTAAGATCCCAATCTAATGGTCAAGGATATAAATCTTATCAGAAGCAAATATCTTAACCCAATCCCTTGGCTTGCAGAATCCCCAGGAGGGCACACAAGAGGAGGTCTCACCTGGAAAGTTTCATTCTTGTTATGCTACTGGCATTCTATTTATTTATTTATTTAAAGACAGGATCTTACTCTGTTACCCAGGCTGGAGTGCAATGGTGTGATCATAGCTCACTGCTGCCTCAACCTCCTGGGCTCAAGTGATCCTCCCACCTTAGCCTTCTAAGTAGTTGGGACAACAGGTACTTGCCACTACACCTGGCTAATTTTTTAAATTTTTTGTAGAGAAGAAGTTTTCCCATGTTGTGCAGGCTGGTCTTGAACTTGTGGCCTCAAGTGATCCTCCCACCTCAGCCTCCCAAAGTGTTGGGATTATAGGCATGAGCCACTGTGCCTGGCCTTTTATACTCTATGCCTACATCACCATTCCAAACAGAATTATAGAGACAATACATATGCTTCTATTTAGGAAAAAACTTAGCAACATTTCTTCTTCAGGTTCTTGATCCAAACTCAGCATTAGCAAGCACTACCCAGGTGACAAAACAGAGTCAATGTTTTTGTGCTGCTTCTAAGTTGGAACCAAAGACACCTCAACATAAATCCATTTCTCTACAGACATATTCTATGATCTGAATACTCATGAATCTGCTTTAATTATTGTTAGGGTGGCTAGTGTGCTATTAATTTTTAATGAAAATCACACCCTCTAGCCCAGCCTCAATTCTTTCCTTCCCTTCATCCCAATACCCACCTTCCCTCCCCACCTTTCTCACTTTTATTGCTGGTCCATCAAGGTCTTTCTGCAGCTCCTCTACCAGGGCCACAGCCTCCTCGCCACTCCCAGGGCGATGGAGCTGCACCCAAGTCCGAATCTCCCCAGGCAGGATGCTCAGAAACTGCTCCAGCACCAGCAGCTCCAGGATCTGTGCCTTGGTACGTGCTTCTGGTCTCAGCCACCGGCGACAGAGTTCTCTGAGCCGGCTCAGAGCCTCCTGGGGTCCAGATGTCTCATGGTAACGTAATTGTCTAAAGTGCAGGTGGGAGGTCTCCCAAACAGAGGAGCTGCTTCCTTGGAAGCTGGTTCCCCATTTCCAAGTATCATCCTTCCCCTTCACAAGGCCCTCTTGTCTCAAAGCATTGTGGGCCCAATTTTCTCTTGTCATTGTTGTTTTAGAAAAAGGCTCCTCTCCAGTCCAGGTCTCCTTAATCCTTGACTTCTTCCTTAGAGTTTGGAGAGTATCATCTACAAGACCTCAAGAAATCATTGTTAAAATTAGCCCAGAGAAAGAGCTGAGCTTTCCAGGCCCCAGTCAGCTCCCAGTAATAAAGAGAACGTTTGTGAGTGCAAGGTTCCAGACTCTAGAGAGTGTTTCCTCTGACGCCTCCCACTTAAGGCTCTGGGACACAGACACTCATGTTACCCAGACTGCTGAAACCAAACACATGAATTTCCTTTGGTCTTTATTCATAGGATCTCTTCATCTAACTACAATAGATTCTTTACCACTCTAACAATGAGCATCCTGGCTACTCCTGTATAACCTGGAACGAGTCCCTCACTTCTGAGCCTTAGTTTTTTAATCTGTAAAATAGGGATAGTAACAGTTCCTAACTCATGGGGTTGTTATGAGAATCTGATGTCTAAATACATTTCAAGTTTTTGGACAGTGCCTGGTACATTGGTTTAAATGTTACTTATTACCCTCTGTAACTAGCACTCTTTCCTATGTTCCACAGAGTTAACAAGTAATCACAGTCTTAATCATGACACACATGAGATAAAATCCTATCCACCTCCTCGATTAACAAAGAAAGGCTGTATTAAGTTCTGTGTAATTTTGCTCTACATGCTTTTAATTCTCTGAAAATTGTTCATTCTGTTAATCAAAATATTTGGATAAATTTCCATCTTGCTGTTATCTTTTCACACCTAGTCCCACAGGTGGATAAATCTGAATAAGGTTTTATTATACAGAACTTAGACCTGCTCTCTAGAAATCAACTATTCTTTAGAAACAACATATATGTTTCTAATTATAAAACCAAAAATTTATAAAACCAGAAAACAATCACTGCTATTATTCAGAACTATGTCATTCTAGCCCTTTTTCTATGCACCAGTGTGGGTTAAAGATTGGATCCAAGTGTATTGCTCTATAGCTTTTCTCACTTATTATGTTGTGAACACATTAACTATTCTTCATTATTTTTAAGAGCTGTATGAGTCCATCTATACTTAATAGCCCCCTGTTGCTGGACATTTATAGATTATAATCTACAAATTACAGATTATAATAGATTATTTCTATCTTCTACAATAATTTCTAACTAATTATCATAGATTAATTCTAACTTTCCCCTATTATTAAAAAGGTTACAATGGCTATCCTTGCTAACAAATTTTTAGTTACATCTCTGCTTATTTTTTCAGGATAAATTCCTAGAATTGTTGGGCTGAGGAGTACAAGTATTTTTAAGCTTTTAAGGTTATAACAGTTATATCAGCATCAGTGACATATGAAAGCATCCTCATTATTTGAACACATAGACCCTTAAAGAGAGCCTGCTTATAACAACTGGGGGTGGGGGGGCAGAAATATAAACATAATTTCAATATAATGTGTAAGTATAAGTAATAGGAGAACATAAAACTACAGAGAGGATTAATGAAGGGTAATTTTTTATTTTTGAGATGGAGTCTCCCTGTCACCCAGGTGGGAGTGCAGTGGCGTGATCTCAGCTCACTGCAACCTCTGCCTCATGGGTTCAAGTTCTCCTGTCTCAGCCTCCCGGGTAGCTGGGACTACAGGCTTGCGCCACCATGCCCAGCTAATTTTTGTATTTTTGGTAGAGATGGGGTTTCACCATATTGCCCAGGTTGGTCTTGAACTCCTGACCTCAAGTGATCTGCCCACCTCGGCCTCCCAAAGTGCTGGGATTACAGACATGAGCCACCGCTCCTGGCCATGAAAGGTACCTTTGGATTGGACTTTTAAGGAAAAATAAAAGGATCACAGGACTATGAGGAAAGCCATTTCAGGAAGAAAGAAACTATTTTCAAAAGCAACGGAGTGACACATAACTTTGTGAAGGAAAACCAGAGAATGAAAGTAAACTTTGGAGGCAAGATTGTAGGAGTAGAGCAGAGAGGTAAACATAAGTTAAATTCTAAAGGCTCTTGAGAGGCAGTATTCTGAGGAGGTCATTGAGTCCTGTAAGTGAAGCAGTTTTACTTCCATTTAAGCATTAAAGAGGTTTTACATTTTTTCGTATTTTTAAAAATAGGTAATATACTCACTTGCTCAAAATTTCAGATTATAAAACGCATATTGTGTAAAGTTTCCTTCTCCCTGTTAGCTTCTTATGTATCTTTCCAGTTATTTATGCATATGTGTGTATACATTTATTGTTTTCTATTTCCCTTTTTTCACAGATGGTGGTACACCATGAATGTGCTACATTTTCCTATTCTCAATTAA